ATAGGAACTTTGTTGTGGCTGTTTTCGATGTCTCTATCCCTCTCAGAATGCCTAGTCACTGCAGCGTTTACCAGAAAACTTTTTGCAAAAAGCAATCGCTTTTGCCATTGTGCGCAAGAGGGGGTACTGTCTATGTATTATTCGGGCTTCCTGAGGAATTGCCGGAAAAACCCTGGACTGGGATCCATGTAGCACACAGGTCCATGCATGATGTCGCAGGATCATGCGATCGTTCTTGGTAATCTGCTTGTCTTGATTTGTCTTGCTGTCTTGCTCTGCAAGAACACACGATGGTTCCGGCTCAGGCTCCCGGAACCTTATTGTAGGCAGCTGTGTATATACTTTTGTTTACCAGCAGAACCTCGAAGTGGCGATCCACATAGCGGCAAAGCTATTGAATTCACATGATACCGTAGGATCATTCTATATCATGCTTGGCCATGCTTGGCCGTAGGTGCACTTGGACCTGCCGATCCTGCGATCGAAAAGAAATGGGGTGCAACTGGTAGTACGTGGAACTGAGCCATACCCGGCACATCCAATTCCAGCTTCAAACAGCTGCTATACTCGTAATTATCTCACCGCTGCGATCTCAGATCAAGCCCAAGACGAGCAAACGTGCAAAAACACCGGACTCGACCGAGAGAGAGAGAGAGAGAGAGGGCGAGAGTGTGCTCGAGTTTGTTGAGGCCTGTTACGGAGCCCCTCACTGTCGACCCCCCTGTTTTCGTTTCCGTGGTCCTTAGGAGTCGACAGGGCTACATGTATCTGTGACAGGGCGAGTTTTTCTGCATTGAAGCGGGGTTCATGTAAAGAGGTTGATGTATCCGCAGCGTCAGCGCAACAAAGCTGGTGGAGCACAAACGTGGTGCTCCTTCGCCAAAGAACGGAAATATTGCATGCCATTGCCAAATCAGCAGTCCACAGCGTGAGAAGGCGACGATGCTGCAGGGCAAGAAGATGCAAGCTGAACATGGTTTGGCTTCGACTTCTAATTGCCGGGAAGACAAAGGTGCTTTGGCCATAAGCCCGGTCTAGGAACACGGGTCCATATAATGATGGAACGGGTCGTTATCGAGAGAGAACGAGAGGGAGAGAGTGAGAGTGAGCAGGTTCTCTTCCCACAAGTAGCGATGCTCTGTGCTGTTCGGGTCGGAGTGAGCAAACTGTGCCCGCACGTAGTGGGCATGCCTTCAACAGACGGGCGTGCCATTACAGGGGACCTCAAGCCTGGAGAAAGCAACACGAGGGAGTGCGACGGTATGTGGCACGTGTCAGAGGGTTGGGAGACTTCATGGGACAGCGGAGTGCTGAGTTGTCATCCACGACAGGCCCGCTTGGAGGAGCTCAGCTCCAACACTGCCACGGTCCAGCATGACCAGCAAGAGCAGGTCGCTAGAATTTGCCGTGCACAGACAACGCCGGAAGGATGTCCCTGAAGAAATGCATGTGACGGTCTCTCATGGCTTATTCCAGCCATCCTCAAACAACTGGTTCTATGCTCCATCGCAGGTGTGCAGCTGTGCAAGTTATTCTTATTATTATGTTGTCATTATTTCATTAGTCATCAGTATCTGAAAGTCACGTTCGGCCAGTCTCAGTCACACAGCTTGCTGTCGGTACTCGAAGCCGTGCGCAGGTTCACACGCAGGAGTTGAAGCGACTGCGGCAGGAGACTCTGCCGGGTTGCCCGCCAACTCTGACTCTCCTGAAACTGGCTCATCGAGATCGCAGAAGTCTTGGATTTTTTCCTTGGGCACTGGTTGCACAGTGCTTAGCTAGCAAGTTCTAGGTGTCAGACCAGCTCTCGCCTTAGATTAGTCGATCACCGGTGCGGAAAATCTTTCGAAATTCCTGGAGTGACAGGCATGTCAGGACAGGGTTTAAGCAGCACTTACCAGCAAGCAGGTAGTTGCTTCCAGAATGCACAAACATACGAGCGTCACTTTCTCGGCAAGGGACAGAAGGACACAGCTGGCCATGGGAGTTGCGGAAGACGCTTTCCTTCTCTTGCAGATCGATGGCACTAGGACACTAGGACTAGGAGCAGAAGGAAACTCTGTGTTGCAGGACGTTGAGTCCCTCCACAATGAGAAGGAACAGCTTCGTCGACAGCTGCAGGACCACTTCCTGGGAGTTCTCTGAAACCACTTCGTGATCCTTCCTGCTTGCTTTCCTTGCATATGAAAGCACGTAGCCGCAGGTGTTTCGCTGTGTTGCTTTGGGCAGACTTGTCATTGTTGATATTGACCGTCTGCATCTGTCTGCGAAGCAATCAAGCCGCGTTTTTTCAGCACACCGCAAGTTCACAAACCGCACGAGCAGATATCATGGGATTTTGTGGCAACTGACAGAGTGATGTCTTCAGGACCAAGACAAGGAAAGACAAGCCTCTGACCCAGTGGTGCAGTAAGACACTGTAGTGGACAGGACATGATTCCATCCCGGCCTGCTCTCGCATCCAGTCTTTGCCAACGTCTGTGATTTATCTACGGAGCCTCAAGACTTGGCTATTGCTTCCGACGCAGCGTAAGAGGATAGACAGGGCAGTCTAATCTTAAATGTCTCATTTCCAGATCCGTGCACAGGATCTTTTGCCCATGAGACTGGATAAACGGTTGACCGATGGAAAGACATAGCTCGATGTATCATGCAACGGGATTTCGACAGTGGCATGTGCTCTGGTTTTCGTTAAAGCTTTGAGAACGTTTTCGTCAAAGACGGCGGATGAAATCTCCGAAATACCTCCAGCGGGGGGCCTGAGGAGCTGCAGGACAACTTTCTGTACGTGAAGACCCAGCTTGACAAGGCTTGAGCCGCGCTCTGTTTGCCACGCTGCATTGTTGTTGGCATGTTTTGGCTTTCTCGGGTTTGGTTAGCCGAGTGATCAGGTTCAAATGAAACAGGCCGAGGCTGCCCAGAACGGGTCCTCCGATGGGCAGAAGGCGACCGTTTGGTGAGAATCGCTTCATTCATTGAAACGCTGCAATTGCCAGGAGCTCCAACGGCACAAGCAGACACTGCAGAGCATTTCCGAAGAAAGGCTGCTACGATCTCTTGCATCCATCACGCCGTAGTTGTAGTGGTGGTAGTAACACTTGCTGTGTAATGTCTAGCGCTAGTTGTTGTTGCGGTCTTGGTCGTGGTCGTCGTTATCCTTGTCGCCGTTGGTGTCCCGGGTGTCGCAGTCGTTGTTGCGGTCATTGTGCAAAGCCGACTGATATCGCTTATGCGTATCGAGCAGGAACAGACTTGCAGCTCGCATGGACAGTGCACTCAATGTTGCAGAGAAGGACGAGTGTTGCAAGTTGTTTGCATCGAGGCGCTGTGCATTGTTGGTTCAGTGCAGGAGAAGGCATACCATGAGCAGTCGGTCGAGCGCGTGACCACAGCACACGCCTCAATTGCACTTCTAGAGTTTGCCCACCTGCTATCCTGACAACATTATTGTAGCCATCGATTGGGTCATCAGTTCATGGCCTGCTTGTCACCATCGCCTGTTACTAATTGTTGACAGGGTAGCTGGCAGCATCTGGCAGCTGTGTTTGGTGTTGGGCCTGCAGTGTGACGATTTCTCAGCCCTCGGCTTGTCGCAGTGTGGTGATTTGAGATATTTGTTGCAACGGAACGGAGGCGAATGCCAGACTGATGGAGGAGCTGCTGTGGCCCTTTGTGCTTCTTTGTTTGATGGTGTGTAAGCAACGTGCTCTGAGGAGCGAGATCGAATTTCAAAGGAAGTTGAACGTTTATCTTCTCTGTGCCACTGCCTGGAAGGTCAGAAGTGATCCCTTCATGTCGGCCTGTCTGGAAGGTACGCCGAGTCTGTCCGCCAGCTGCAAGCCAGTCTTGCGGATGCTCAGCCTGGTGCCCGGCCGTTCACGGCGATTTACAGCAGGCACCCCGGCTCTGACAAAGGTCTGGCAAATTCGAGTCTGACGCTGGCCAGACTGACCCTGTGCGCCCGCGCATCCGTGACATGAGTTAACTGCCGCCGCTGCACCGCTGGCCAGGCTGAGGTGGCTCTGTTGAGGTCTGAAGCAGAGGATTTGGATGCGATGCTGCGTGAGAGGGATGAGGCGCTGGTGATGGTCAGCTGCGGTGTGGGCCTCTGACGGCCTCTGGGTGCGCAGGAGAACGATGCGCTGAAGACGCGCATCCGGAAACTTGCAGTATCGTGATCTGAGACTTCAGTAGTAGTTTCACCGCACGTGCAATCAGGTTCTCTCAAATCCGTTAAGTCCAGTAACTAAGCGATGGACAATCATGGAGCCTTCGTCTGGGCATATGCAGACCTGGTGAAGCCAGAATCCTTTTTCTTTAACGCACAGATGTTGCAGCCGGCCTCCCTGGAGAAGTTGCCAAAGGCAGCGACAGCATCTCAGTGAGAAAGAACCGATCGTGGGCAATGCGACGTACAGGGACAACAGAAGTGGGAGGTTTTGAGTAGATGATCGAACGCAGACAACGAGAGTACGTTTTGTATTGGCCAGCGACAGCTTGAGAGCAATAATGTTCAATGCGTTTCGATTTAACGTTGCACATCATGTGCTTGAAGCCCATGGGCATTCGATGCGATTGCAGCGGTCATGAAGTATCGTGGAGTGTGCTGCAGCCATGCGACACTCATGTCTAGGTCTAGGTATGACGGACGTCAAACAGGTCTAACTAGACTGTTTGGACCGCTTACGCAATTCAATGAATCCGCACGGAGGTCGCTCAGCCTGTGTATAGAGTGTATGGATAGAATCGTACATGTGGCGAGCAATGAGCAATGCTTCGCAACTGGGTACTGCCAGCCTTTTCCCCGGAATTTGGATTCATCGCATTATGCCAGCGGGGCGTGGGTTGAAACTTGAAACTGATGCCGATTCCCGTCATGTAGGCCAGATGTTTCTCACATTTGTATCGGCCCGTCAGCGTTTGTCATACAAGACCAAAGCAGCCTGAGGTGGTCCTAGCGCTGCAGGTGCAGGCGCGACGTTGCCAAGATGCAGTCATCGTTCTTTGCACTTGGGGACATGGCGGTGTGTTCAAATTTAATCACAGCGTGGCAGCGCGGCTCGGAGACCGAGAGCCTATGTCTTGATGGAATGCATCAAAGTCTTTGCCAGGTCGGACAGCAGCAGACCACACTGGACCCATGCAGCCCTGACCTTCCAAATCGAGACAGGGCCTCGGGAAGTAGCTGCAGGCTGCAGGAGTTCGGTTCAGAGCACACGCATCAGTGAGGCGTTGGGCTGCCCACCCTTGGAGGAGGCCTGCACCGACACACCGGGGAGAAAAGCCACGAAATGTTAGACGAGCCTGTGCCATACACATTGAGTCAAGAACAGTGAGTCCGGAAGACACAGGGTACAAGTCCGGAATACCCCCCAAACAAGTCAGGAGCAGCCTGGAGCCGAGTTGAGAACAAAAGTCCGCTGCGACATCAATGGTCCTTGTGTCCAGTTCTGCTGGTACTGGTAGAAAAGGTATTGATGAATAATGAATACTGTAAACAAAGTCGCAAGGCTGACCATAGCAGCAATTTGAACAGCAATAGTAATCAATCACGCTAATTATCACAACAGGAATGATCGCTACACTAGCTGTTGGTGATCTATTGATCAGGGTGAACGGCACCTGGCTCGCCTGCTTCACGCGATGTGCTAGCAGGATAAGTCGTCGAGACACCGTTGTAATAGAAACAGTGGCGGTCGTTGCATGCACCCTATGTGTCATATGCTCAACGCCCCAAACCCTGAGCCTTGAGCGTAACTCGATAGATCATATATGCAGTACAAGCCCCAAAAGCCCTACACCCGAAACCTCGAATTTCTCTGAGCATCCTGGTGGTTATGCTGTCACCATCAGCTTCTTTGTAAGCACTGTCATATAAGCATCAGCAGCAGGATGGGTCTTCCTCAGCAGTCCACAGTCCAATGTACCACACAGCCCGTCGTTGTCTCGAGGGCGCCGATGTTTGTCGAACACTTGATGTTGCAGCGGCAGCGCTTAACATAAACAGGTTCAAAAGACACAGGATTGACATGTTGGATCAAAACTGTTCCCGCCAGTGTTGTTCTCTGCAGTTTGTCTGCTGCGATGCGGGCTTGCTCCTGCCGCTTCATTACCGCCAGCGTGTGGGCGCGTGTGACTCTGGCTCTCGGGGAAAAGCTGGTACTTAAATTGTTCCACTGCGTGAAATTGGGCGCTTATGGGGTTGCCACCCGAAATTCACTTCTGTGTCTCTTCGTGCGAGCTCCGCGTCGCCAGCCCTGCCCATGCTCGAGCTTTCGTCCTAGCCCGTGGCTCTCAAGTTCCGAAATTAGCCCGTGTCCTGTTCCTGACTTTGCCGCCACTGCTCCCGACTCTGTCTCCTGCTGTTCCTGCCTCCTGCTCCCTCTCCGTTCCTGCTGTCTTCTGCTTGTTCTCGACCCTTGCGGCTGACTCGCCTCCCATCCGAAAGGCCACAGAAGCAGCACACGCGACTGAAAGTATGCACACTGTTACATACAAGCTGAATAATGTTGAATGCTGCTTCCTGTGAATGTCCAGCACCAAGTTTGGCGTGTGGGACCCATTCCATGTGGCATGTTAGAGCTTCGTGCCATAGCAAAAAGGCTTTTAGAGCGCACAACCGGCATAGGTCATCGACTAGGGACCAGTTTCATCGGAGGCAGATCATGTTGAAGTAATGCGGTCGAGGTAGACGCGAGCCCACTCGGTTCTGATGGACATGTTCGCCATATGCAATATGAGGTGTTGAATCTTGTTTTGATCCCCACGGCGCAGTCCCTGCTTCAAAAGCATGGGACACAACTGCTCCGTTCTATGGAACACTGACTTGTTCTTTTATTCACAAGCTGCTTTGTCTGGCGTTTTCATGATGTTTTGTAATGATTGTTCAGGTAATTAACGGGAAGAAGTAAATATAAGTACAGGAGCGGGGGTGAACCGGAAGGCGCTCTTTGGCATCATACTGCGTGCTCGTAGAGTGTTTATGGCTCTGATGAACAGACTGTGAGGCAACATGATGTGTTTGCCATGCCTTTGGCTTGCGAGGAGACTAGGGAAAGGCCACACCTGTGCAAACAGCCTCTTTCATTTTTGCTTCATTGATGTGCCTCGCTTCAGGGCCGCAGCTTCTACCATCCAATCGTGTATAACAAAAACACAGCATCTTTTGCACGGTTTTGGCCTCCTCGCCTACGCGATAAGTGTATCACACCCTTCAGTGACCCTTCAGAAGTTGGTCACATGTTTTCTGAGAAAGCTCCCATATAGTCATCGGCACGATGAAGAAAATTGCATGTCCACAAAACCTACATTACAACAGGATTTTGCAAATGTCCAACTTTCCTGTACCTTGAGGATGTCCCCACCCCTATCCGTTCCCTGTGCTTCAAGGTCTTTGCGCATGCATCTAAACAAACCATAAGCGTGCAAGAGAACGAGAATCGCGTGAAATAACAAGTCCGTGCAGGACTCCAAGACACGTAGGGCCACGATCACAACTAGCATTCTCCCGTGGACAATCACAGGACGGGTGTGGCAAAGCAGACTTTACAAATTGTGGCGACAGCGGGGAAAATACAAAGAGCCGGTGGCCAGAAACCACGGGGCCAAGTGGACGCCGGGTGGTGTGCTGGTCGTGATCGCACAGCGGCATAGCAGCAACGGGCATTGCTTCCGTTTGGTTCTCGAGCACTGTCAGGTGATTGAGTGCACTTACTCGGGCAAGCACTGCTATCTATACGATGCTCGCGTCTCAGAGATTGCAATCCCCATCGGCGCAGCAAAGACCATGTCATGGTTCGAATGGGCCATACTGCTACATTCTACATCGCGCGGTGACGTTGAGACAGATGAGTATGAATCGGACTGAGACAGCATTGTGAGACAGTGTGCTTCAAGGCCTTGGAACCTTTCTGTGTGGAGCCCTTGTTGTTTTTTGAGAGTCCCTTTGGGGGCCGGCGAGCTGAAGGCAGGTCAAGCGGAGCACCTGTGAAATGCATTTGTCACATGTTGAGCTTCGTTTCCAGGCCCGCCTGTCTGTACAACCACCACAACAGCCACCTATACAGCAACATCCTCAGGGAAGCCGAAACATCCGAAACTACTCAATCTTCCGCCGGCGTCACGGTGTCCGAAGGTGACATTGACTACGACCCAGACTGTCACGGCCTCAAACTCTCTGGCCATCAATGGGGAGCATTAGATGCTTCTACTTGTAGCAACAGGTGACAGGCTTCACGACAACACGGCCTCCAGCCGTCGAATGCAGCCCCCTTCTCAGCAGAGACGTCCGCCGATGCTTGGAGACTTGCAGGGTCCCTTTGCTGGATCACACTCTGAGGAGACTTCTGCTATGACAATTCCCACCCGTGGCTTGTCAAGTGTGGATGGTCTGCCTGTGCTTCATGCGCGCGGCTGAAGATGGAGAGCTCCGGGCTTCTGCGACGGTCATTGTCGAGTCATTGTAGCACATTGTAGCCTTCAGGTGGGGAGTGTGCTTCGATCATCCTTCCGTCCACAAGCGCGGAAAGTACGTCAGACCCTGAACCACTGGGCAAAGACTTCATTCAGGCTTAAAGCATACGGCAGTTCGGGCACCCGAGCTTGTAGACTTGTAGACGGATGAGCAGTTGCCGTCGCACCAGGTCGGGAATGCTGGTTGTGACAGCGAGGCTCGACGCACGTGATGGACAAAGGAAGGCCGGATGCCACATGGTAACACTGTTCCTTCACAGGCCGGACCGCAGAAACACAACTTTGCCGCCAACGACGCAGAGACCCTCCAGCACAGGTGCGATTCAGCTGGCTGAGCTGCGTTGATTGAGAAGTTCTACGCCGCGCAGGCGCCGGCAATGCCGGAGGTGGGGGCCCCGCCAGGGGCTCGGCTACGGTGCACAGCTGCAGTATCCACAGCAAGTCGTGTAGCTTGTGGCACAAGGAGCCAAGTCGCTAAGTCTTCAGGTGTTCGAAGATGACGGATCCTTAGAGGATGCAGCAAACAGTGATCAGACGACCGATGCGGCTTCGTGCGCTTCTCAGCTTCATGGCTTGCAGTCGGAGTTCATTGGGTAGTTTCGACGTGAGCTCAGGACCTCTTCGACGCGTGAGCTGGAGTCGAAGACCTGCCTGCAATTGCTCTGGCCTAAGCTTTCCTCCCTTCCCGTTGCTGCCGTCTTCCGTTTCACATCGAAGGTGCTACAATGCAATCGATTATCTTGGGTGGCCAACGCTTTGTCCATGGCCCAGCTGACAGTGGCGGTGTTTGCAAACAGAACGCTTGCTAAGACAGGAAATGCAAGCGGAAAGTCAAACCAAAGGCGACACTTTTCGCGGTTTCAGGAGGGAACATTTGGGAGAGCGACTGCATCTGACCATACCGAGAAAGTGGAGTCATATGGTAGAGGTGAAACATTTGCTGCCTTCCTAGGCCTAGGATTCTAGTGCTGAGTCGATTGCAGAGAGCGACACCTTCTCGTTTTCGTCTCGCCGTTTGTGGTGGCTGAATGCCACCAGCATGTGTCTAAGGAGTCGTGATTCTTTTAGGGAGTCGAAGTGGAGGCATGGAAGTCGAGAGCAGTTGAAAGGCAAAATAGCCCATCCCATCAACTGACTTTGGGGAAATGCCCAGCAAATTCTTTGTGCATGAGGGGACCAGGTATATCCAGATATCCAGCTCAGGCACTTGGGCTACATGCGTGACCTGTCCAGAATGTTCAGGCCGAGTGCCCGAATGCAGAATGCATGTGACTTCATGTGCTTTCTACCTTTCGTGAGTCCGCAGGAACTACGGTGACAGCAACCACTACAACAGAGGTTCTACCACCGACGTTTACATTAACGACAACCTTTATATCAGCAGGGCACCGAATTGCTTCGCTCACTTTGCGCTTGTCTCCTTCCTGCAGCGAATCTTAAGGGCACAACCGGCATTTCGTCAACAACATCTGTTCTGACCCGAGCTTGTCGTGACTGTTAGGCCAGATGAGAGGAAACCGGATACATGCGAGTGCTCCTGTGCCTAGACGATGACGCGCACTGCTAGCAGCACAACTAGCTGGACCGAGTCGGGCTCAGATGGGGAATAGAAAGCTTGGGGCTTCTTCTCACAGCCTACCAGCAATGTGCCATGGGCTGTCTGAGACTGTTGAATTGTCCTGCATAATGGCTCGTCTGAGACTACCTGGACTTCAACCATTACATCCACGACTACCGACAGGCAGGTACTCGTAGGCTACAGAATGTTCCAGAGCCTTTGCCATGTGTCTTCTCAAGTTTCTTTGATATGTCAGGGCGTGTGCCTCGCCGAGCCCAGTCTTGTCCAGCATTGCCAGAAACAAGGACACACAACTATTTAATTATTTGGCCAACGTAGCACTTTTGTTGCGCATCACGTGGGCAGGAGTTCTGCGCAAATCTTAGCTGGGGCCTCACCGCGAAGAGCCAGTGAGTTGATGACATAGCGATACATAGCGTGCTGGCTTCGTCTTGATGTGGCCCTGAAGGCGCCGGAGATTTCTGTGTTGCCTGCACCTCAATCCGAAAACATGGCAGGAGCTTATGCACTGTACTGCGTCGAAGGCCCAAATTCAAGACCATCCGTGTCTTTACGATGGAGATCTATATCTCGAGTGCCCCAGGCACGAGCCCGCCTCTGAATACTTAAAGCTCTTCTTGGCGGCACCTTCCTCTTGAAGCCTGGGCTTAAGCGATACCGGCAGTTATACTGTCACTGCTATGGTCAAGGCTCAAGGCTCGTGGCATTCGGAGGGGGCAGCCCTGGCTCCTGCATTTGCACTGGTTGCAGCAATCCTGTGGTTCGATTTTGGAGAAGGGCCGCCTCCCGTCGCCGTGCACTGGAGACGAAATCCATGACATTGTTAAATTGTTGCCCGATGCACAAGTTTTTTTTCCAGGACAAGGAATCATCAGGCCCTGTGTGTCATGGCAAGAGCTCGAAAGAATTGCAAGAATGATGCGACGTTTCATCGACAGTATGAGAAAACGGATGAAGAGGAATAAAGGGCGGTGGGACAGCAGGAAGCTTCTGTGCGAGCAGGAACAACATTCTGTACAGGGAGCCGCGTCTGCTGTCCGTGCCTTTCACTATGCCTGCCGGGACAGCAGACCCAAGTCGTTTCGGAGCTGCTTAGGCGAGGCGAGTACCAGACAAAGCCATGCTCTTATTTCGCAGCAGGTAGGCCTGAAGCTGTCAAACTCAACACTCAGATGTCGAATCTGCGGGTTCGCGGACAATGATTGGCAAGATACCGATCCGCAAGCAGGCAGGGTTGCATTGTCAATTTGCGTCAATTTGCTGCGAAGTTGCGAACTGTTCAGAAGAGTAGTGCATAAACAGCTGGTAGTATTTGGTAGTAGCACGCCGCGGCACGATTGAATGTCGCTTGCAGTTTAAAATACATCCATGCCACACCACCGTTGGCCTCGGACGAATGTTTGAGTTTCCATCTTCGCTAGTCATGAGAGAGATCGAAACCCAGAGCTTTCACCAAGCATAATGTCCCAGTCTAAAGAACACAAGGGTTCTGATAGTGCAACAAAACCGGAACCCAGACTAGAGATCTGTCCAAACCTTTTTCGTTGGCAGGAGCAGAGAACCGAACTTTTGAAGCAGAACCGAAGGACTGTCGCTAATCAAGAGAAGACTGTTCCGTATCAGAGGCTCGCCACCGAATTTGAGGCATGTTGCTGCAGTGTACATTCCAGCTCACAGACACAAGGGCGAGGCCGGGATGCTGAAGCAGCGGCAGTGTTCCAACCCGGAACACCGGAAAATGTTTAAGGTAGCGGAGTTTCAAATGTTATCGTGGCTACTGTGGCACCGCGGCTGCTGAGCCAACGTGTTCTTGCGAGCACCCTGGTGACGGGGCCAGCCTGAACCACTATGGCTACCGAGCCACGCTGCTGGACCTCTGGCGGTATCTCAAGCTTCCAAACATTATGTCAACCGCCCTCGCCTACTGAGGGGGCGGGTTCAAGATACAAGATCAAATGAAATGGTCTGACTTGGGGGATTTGATATATATATATGTATATTATATAAAGTTATATATATATGCATTGACCCGGGAAACTGGGT